GCGTGCTGCGAGTGACTCAGCAGCGTCCAAAGCCAGCCCCTAGGCCAGGCCAGGCCAGGCCAGACCAGGCCAGGCACGGCTTCGGCTTCAGCTTCAACTCAGAGCCCCTCGTTGGGTTTCGTGCTTAGCCAATTTTATGTGCTCCCTATATAGTATGTATGTATCTATATACATACATATATACATATGTATATACTTTATGTAAATATATAGCATGCAGCACTTATGTGCGGGCGGGCAACACAGCTCATGAAATGGTACGCTGCACACATACTAAGCAGACGGAGGAGGGGCAGGGCGGAGCAGCGCTCCATCGGCGATATACAAGTACATAGCCTCGTTCTAATTTTTAAAGTTTTAGCACTCGAAAACTTGAAATTACCAGAAAGTGCTCGGGAAATCTCAACGGATGGAGGAAAAATCAAGAACGTAAATAAATTGAACCCAGTTTAAATATTGACCCCTGTACAGAAGTTTCTTCAAGAGTAATGGTCTAAAAATTAAAGATAAAAATATATATTACTGATGTTATTATATCATATATCGAGCCTCACTAAGTTTAAAAATTGCAACTATTTGTTGAAAGTAAAACTAAAACGGGCTTACACAAATGTTAGTTAATACTTGTAATACTTAGAACAATATCTTTTCATCCAAAATATAAATATTTGCACATTTGCAAGTGTGTAGTGTAGCTTAAGTCTATTATTAACTATTTTAGGAAAAAATGGCAATTTAATTTAATTAATTTAATTTGAATGGACAAAGAAATGGAAAGAAATTTAAACATATATATTCTTGAGAAAATATACTCTATAATATAATAGACTACCTACTATTTACTTTGCATATGATAAGTCTTCTTGAATCGGAGTGATATATTCTTCAAATCATATTTCTAAGCTTAATTACTTGTGAGTAGTAAATATTGCCGAAATCTTGATCCCAGTTTACTCTCCAGCATTGGTAAAAGGGACCCAATTACATATACAAGTATTTTGGAAATACTCCCCTCCTTCTTTTAGGTAGTCAATGATTGGTAGGCATTGGCTCAGGGAAACCCCAGGGGAGGGGAGCGTCATCGCGTTTATCACAGCTAGGCTTAGGCGTAGAGAGCTTTTGCTCTCTTGAGGCTAATTTGACTCTTCGCTGAGCAGAAATTAAGAGTTCACAGAATGGCAATTGAAAGTCGTTGCCTGCGCGTGTAAATGCCTCTTCCTCTTCTGCTCGTATACACGTACGCATGTAGGTGTAAGGCGATTGGGTAAATCGCATCTACATACATGTACATATGTATGTATGTATGTGTGTATGTGACGCATGTATGTGTTGTTCACCCATTAACTTGGCCTGTCGGGGCTCTCGCCTCCCACTCCATGAGCAATGAGCCGATTGTGCTCCCGCATGTTCGTGCAATTGAAAGCCTCAATGGCCACGACCACGACCACGACCACGAAAATAATTTCGTGTTTCGGCGTTGATTTAATTTCACGTTCTCTGCTCTTCATCTGCCTAACCCTCTATCCGTCTATTTGTCTGCCATCAGTCCGTCCGTCCGTCCGTCCGCTTCTCTGCGTGTGTTTCTTGTGTCGCTCCCTAATTCGATTTGCGTGTCGCTCGTAACACTTTCTAATGCCGATAATGACTTCAAATGCCGCTTCACACTCTCTGCGCCATTTGAACTTCAAATTTAAACTCGGATGTCACCAATTTTGGGCAACGCATCCAAAAGCGCTCCCCGAGCCGCCCACGCATGTGGCCGCTGCTTTAGTGGGGGGAAGGGGGAAGGGGTACCTGCGATTGGTGTTCTCGTTTTTATGGGGGCCCTCTCGTAATGCCCATCCATTTCATTTTCGGTGCTGTTCTGATTTATTGTCAATGGCAACGGAAGCGATCCGCCTGCTTGTCTCGGCTGGACTGATAATGGCAATGACATCACAGCAACATTTTTATTTGCACTACTGAACAACAAAACAACAAGAGCAAAAAAAACACAAAAAAACACAAAAAAAAACAACAAAAACCAATTTTTAAATGTATGTAAATGAAAACGGAAAAAACTCTGCGTTGTTTTGCCATTTGCTGGATCGGTAGAAAAGCTCAGAGCCCGCTGATAAGCAGAGACACAAAGAGAACAACAACAAGCGCCGAAGGTCCGCAGGTTCAATAGACCGTAAAAATGCTTCCACGTTGTGGTTGCCTAGGCAGGAGTGGATGTGAGAATCACAAAATATGCCAACGGGTTCTGCCCTGCCATTGCAAATGCATATAAAGTCTTATTATGGAATCACATTGTCTATCCATTAAAATCTTGGGTCGCCGGGATTTATTATACATTAGGCGATATTTAAACCATATATGTACATATAGTGGGAGAGTAAGATTTTGGATTTTAGGCAATCGTTGTCGGTAAACTTTCAAATCTAACATACATCTCACTATAGAGGCTGGAAATTTTAAATATTTTTTATTGCCATTATTTCTATATTGCCGTTAATTATAGCGTGTTGCGCACAGGGATCCCTGGTTCTAATAATGCTTCCACGTTGTGGTTGCCTAGGCAGGAGTGGATTTGAGAATCACAAAATATGCCAACGGATTTGCAGGGCTAAATCCGTTGTATATGTAATGTCTTATTATGGAATCACATTATCTATCCATTAAATCTTGTATGGAACGAAATTATAGAGCAGGGATACATAATGTTTAACCCACAAGTCCATTAACAATATATGTATGTATATTGCTAAAAAATACTAATATTATTTAGAAAGTCCTAATATGAGTAATTTTAATAATGACCGTATTATTTGGATCAGTTGAGACAAACACTAATATTATTTTTAGCGACCAAATTAATGAAGTTTTGGAAAAAAATGTTGTTCAATTGTTATATAACCAGCTTTTGTTGCTATTTCTTTATGATGTACTTGTTAATATAATACAATTAATAAAGGAAATTATTTTCAGTTCATTGAAATATAAATTCATAAATTTGTTGTTTCTAACTACATTTTTGAAACAGCACTACTATTATTTTGAGGGAGAGGGAGTGAGATTTTGAATTTTATGCAATCCTAAACATACGTCTTACAATATTTATTTCTATAATGTCGTTAATTGTAGCGTCTTGCGCACTGGGATCCCTGGTTCTAATTATGAGCATATTTTCTATTCAAATGTTTTTCTTTAGCACAGATAGCACAGTTTCCAAAACGGACCCATTTAGTCAGAACAGTCGTGTGTATGTTCTCTGAGATATTTCGCCGTACAAGTATGTGGTGTTTTCTTTTTACAATGCTTGGACTGTGTACGCTTGTCTAGGCCTTTCTAATAGTTGGCTTAGCTTCTCTAATTGCCTCAACGAGGTAGGAAGTTAAGAAAGTCGGCATTGTCCTTCCTGTATATCGATGGCTACAGCAAAGCCAATTGATCCTGCGCCACCGATGTTAATCCCTGACTGACGGCGCCTAGGCCTCTGGCCTGTCCATTGCTTGCAATTAGACACAAGCCAGGCCCAAGCAATTAACGGACTCGGCATATGGAACGTGACCTTTGGGAAACCCTCGGGATTAACGCGCACACTCACACACACACACACACACACTCATCGACTCATACACGTGCACATGTGTGCGCTGACATTTGACTGCATGGCCAAGAGAATTAGCAGCAGCAATAACAACAACAACAACAACAACAAGATGTCAATGAGAGTTGCGAACAGGCGCGGTTTTTATTTGTTTGCATCTGTTCGTTTTAATTCAATTCTCAAATAGCCCATAAAAATGCAAAAAGCCTCATGGGCCACTCTGGGGTACCCTTTCTGCCAACAGCTGTATTAAAAATATATAGTTAGTACAGTGAAACCTCTGATAGTTCATCCATATATTTAATTCGAATTTTATTAATCAGAAAAAGTCGGTTTTCTATAAATGGAAATGCCTACTTCTGTATAATTAGAGCAATAATGACGCTAGCATCAGAAAGAAAAAAATAATTTTTTTTTAATTTCAATACATTACAGGAAGGTATAATGTATCCAAGAAGATAAGTTCAGATTCAAGCTTTAACTAATCGGTTCAAATGGAATTAGGATCGAATATGGTCTGGTCCCAGGTAGCGAAATATTATCAGATGTACATTCAATTAGATTTACTTTTCACAAAATGTAATCATGTGGGCAGGTACGATCGCTTGAATAAGTGTCTGCCCTTTGGAGCTGATCGTTCCAATCTCGGCTCTAAGCTACAGATACGGGCCTATCAAAAACAAAAATTGCCAACAGGTGGCTCTTCAGAAATGTTGTCAAAATAAACAATTCGATTCAATGAGATTTTTCTATACAAAAAAATAAATGTACATACATACATATGTATATAAAAATATATGTGTGTTTGTTACATGCGTTATAGCTCAATGTATATAGCCGTTTAACCCTTTGGGTGCAGTGTATTAATAAATGCAAATACATAAATAAAAGAAACAACTTACTTTTTCTATTTTATATCCCAGACGTGAAAGATGATAATAAACAAAAAATGGCAAAAACAACTTTGCGCATACGTTGTTGCTGTTGTTGTTGTTGTTGTTTTTAGTGTTGTTGGTGTTGGCTTTTTTCACTTTTAATGAGAAATTTCTTCTTTCGGCACTGTTGTTGTTACTCTATTGGTGTTGCCTTTGTGGGTTAAATACGCAAATGATTGTAAATAGTAGACGAACATAAAATTAAAAAGCCAAATTCGAGATTCCAAATTCGAAATTTGTTCGTTTGCTGGAGAAGCGAGCTTCGATTCGCTGTCGTTGCTATAACTGTAACACTAAAGTTGCTGATGTTGCTGTTGCTGTTGTTATTGTTCTGCTGTTGCTCTTTTGTTAATAAGCTCGAATTGTAAATACATCTATTAGTTGTTGTTGTTGTTGCTGCTGTCGCTTATCTCTTTTATTGATTTGTTCACTTTTTAGTTTTGATGTTTTATATAAACTTTGCGAGCGCTTACATTTCACATGACTCCTTTGCGTTGTAGATAGAGTTGTTGTCGTTGTTGTTGTCAGTTATGACAACTGATTGCTGTTGTTGTTGTTGCTGCTGCTTCTTGCTTCACATTGCACGCTCACACACACGCACACATACGAACGCACACGAACATATCGTCCGTTCACTTTGACAAAGAAATTCGCAAACAACAACAAAACGAAATTCGTCGCCACATTTACACGAAAAAAAAGTACATATATGTATGTATGTAGTATGTACATACATATGTATATTAAACGAGTATGTAGTGTTAAAAACGCACGCACAGTGGTACAAAACTGCAAGAAGAATCGAAATGGAAAACTCAAATTAATAACTATTAGCACATGGGACAGCTATAACAAGCACAACACCAACAATAACACACTTTCGGGCTCAAACAAGAATGGGAAGAAACGACAATAACAATAACAAAAACAAAATCAAATTCGAAATGAGCGCACAAAGGCGACATTATATGAATAAACTATATTTTATAAATACATATGTACATACATATGTGTATTAAGTATGATTATAATTTATCATTTTGTTATTGTTTTTATGTATATTTCACAATGATGTGCATACATACATACATACATACATGTATGTATGTTCTTTATTTGAATATTTTACATACATATGTATGTATGTTTTCTTTCTCGCTTTGCGTTTTGTTTCCTTTTACAGATAATATGCATGTTTTTCTTGTTGTTGTTGTTGTTGTTGTCGTTTTTGTTACAGTTTCTATGTTGCTATTGATGTTGTTATTGTTATTGTTGTTGTTGCTGCTGCTGCTGTTGCTGCACAGCCGAATTTGTTAATGTCGGGCACAGCTAATACCCGCTTCATACACGCATTGCTTTTTCATTCAAAAGCTGTTTATTTATTTATTAATTTTGTTTTATTTTAGTTTATTTTATTATGGTTTCGTTTCGTTTTCCTCGCAACTATTTTCAAAGTAATTTTATGCACATAGAAAATAGTATGAGAAAGAAATCACACACGAGTGGAAAAAAATTGCAAATTTATAGAAAAAAAAAATGTATTTAGAAGCGCACGTTTCTGTCGATTGCACAAATATGTTTGTTTGTTGTTATTATTGTTGTTGCTGCTGCTACTGCTGCTGCAGCAAAAGAAACGGAAAATCTGAGAATAATCATATGAAGAAGAAGCAGCAGCAGCAACAGCAACAGCAAAATGTTACAACACACACGGCGCCACTCTTATTCAAGTTGTTATTATTATTGTTGTTGTTGTTCTTGCACTGAGCTCAGCTCTAAGATGGGGACCGTGGACCCAAGATAGTTCGAGTCGGCAATCGACAATCGAGGCGCACGCGCGCCAACCGTTCGAAACGCACCGTTACCGTTCACGTTCACAGTTGTTCATGGAATGAGCCGCAGCCTCGAGTCGTGTGTGAGGGCGTTTGTGGGCTGGTGCACCAGTACGAGCACCAGCACGAACACATGACCCACAGCGATACGTTAAGAGAGCGCGCTCGCTCACGATCTTGCCAACGTACATACATATGTATGTATGTATATATGTACATATATGTACATACATGAATGCATGTGTGTATATGCTTGTATGTTTTTGCAAGAGAGTGACAAAGAGAAGCAGCTGTTGCGCCGTTCGGCTGCCGCGCTCTGTGTGGGGGCCTTCTTTTTCTGTGGAGCTCTGGCCACAACTATTGTGGCTCTTGTCAACGCTGCAGTAGCTGCAGAAATCAATCAGCCAAGAGCCATTAAAGCGCACAGGCCATTAAGATCATGCGCTCAAACATACATATGTATGTATACTTAGTATGTACATACATATGTACATGTGCATACAAATTTTTAGGTGCGCGGTCTGGTTCAATGCTGGAAACTTTGTTTTATTTTTTTTTTTTTTAGTTACGTATTTGTTACGTACTCGCATGTTCGTACAGTGACCTAATTCGAGGTTGTATTCCATTTCCAAGCGAGCAGCTTGGATCAACAAATAGATTTGTTCAAATGAAATCGTTTTTCAGTATCAGTATCAGGTAAAAGGTATAGTCCACATTTTTAACCGACTTCCCAATTCAAGGGTTTTCTCGTACAGATAACTTTTTTTTGGAAATAACTCTTGCTTTCGATTTCTATAAAAAATATATGCACGAATCGAAATTGCCAGCTGTTCCGGTTTTCAAAAAACGATCAATTTATTGGTTTTTCAAAATTAGCTCGCAATTTCCTACTCTATATACTATATATTGTATTCTACATGCTTGTATGTACTTATATATAGTTAATTAGTAAATTAATAGATTGATAAAGAACGAAACTATCAATTCTGAATACATATTTTTCTCGACGCAAACAACTATTATTCCTTTTGTTTTTTATTATATAAAAAATATATTTGAATTTTCATCATCTTCATAAAAACAACCTCTTATCATATCGGAATAGAAACGATTCAAAATGAAAACCATTATTCGGAAGTTCGAAGAACAACAAATTTAAAACAATTTAGGATTGCAATTCTTTTACTTTTCAAAAATAATCGAAAACGGAAAAGTAATAATGTATAATATATTTTGTCAACAGTTTGTTTCCATGTGAAAATACATATTTTCTTTATAGTTTGAAGAACTTGATCACAATTTCTCAGTTTCTGAAAGACTTCTAAGGAAAGGCATGTCATAAGTTAGTCCTTTCTACTACCCAGATATTTCACTATCATGCAACAACCCATATCGTAGTTGGAGCTAATACTTATATCAAGCTAAAAAGTCTTCATCTACAATTTAGTATTGGGAGAGTACATCCCTAACAAATATATTCGACTTCAGGGCCTAAAAAGGGCCCTCCGATTGACTCCGCAATCCATTAAATCAGTTGCCAGCTCGCACTCCCGACCTAAGCCAAGAAATTGAATTTAAAATGGAAACACAAATTGTTTTGCAGTTTCCTCTTTGGTGACAAATTGAAAATAGAAATTTTGTAAATGTCGCTGGAAATTTCCCAAAGAATTTTAAATTTCAAAATACAAGAGGACGGTAACATGAAACGTGAAATTCAAGGCAAGAGGCAGTGGACGGACGGGACGGACGGACACGACTGACTTGAGCACGACACGAACTGGCGTACATATCTTTGTGAATACCTATATATATATATATATATATATACACTTACTATTTATATATGCATATACATATGTACATATATACATACTTGTATGTATATCAGTAAGAATGTATGAATGTGCGCGTGTGTGTATGTAAATTTCTCAATTAGTTGCACAAACAAAGACGCTTCCAAATGCATTTCGTTTTCGTCATTAATCATCCGGCCCATCTATCAGAGCCAGCGCCAGCGCCAGCGCCAGAGTCAGAGTCAGAGCAAAAGTTGTGGTCGAGCCCATCGGCCATCAGAGAGCCTCGGCATGAGTCCAGGCCAACTGTGGCCCGCTAATGTGTGTAGCTGAAACGAAAACACGAACACACACACACACACACACACGCAATCTGAAATTTTGGAACGGGCCTACATACATACTCGTAGTAATATTGCGTTTTATTTTGATGAGAAACGAAAGTTTGTCTCCCAAACTAACTATCCATCGAATGGATGTTCGACTTAGCTTTTGTTCTCGTTTGTTAACGCAAACACTGTATGAGTGCGAGCATGTCCCTTCAACGATAGAGCATGACTCCAGAAAGTAAAGAGTATTTATCATACAAGTAAACTTTTAACCGACTTCAGATCTTTTTTTTCACCTAAATACCATATTTAACGTATATTTAAAACCACATACTTATTGTTTAGTTAAAGCAACCATCAACTTACGAGAGAAGAGCAACAAATTAGTGTTTGAAGGACCTTTTCTTTCTTGCAGCACACTAGCTATTTGGATCGGCGAATGCAATGAGAAGGGATGATGAAGTCCAAACCTAAACTATGCCGGACTTTTATACAAGTAGAAGACTTTTATAGAAATTGACACTTCAAGAATATAACCTGATCCACATGAGTGTTATATTCTCGCTCACAAACTATAGTTCTAATAATGTGTTAACAATATTGTACATTTTCATAATGTTAATGTTTTTAGCCGACTTTAAAAAAGAAGAATGTTGAACGTTTTTTTAAATATTTATTATGTTTATTTCTTTTGCACATTCGACTGGGTGGACCGGTTTTTCCATTTAAAAGATGATGCTTTCCGTATGGTCTTCTAAAACTTTGGTCCAGTTCTGACAATGGCATCCATGAGAAAAAACTACCTTAACCCAGTTTGTCCAAATGAAAGACTCAATTCCTGAACAGGATGCTGTTACTTCAGAAAGTCGCTTTAAATGACAAAAATAAAGCAACGTTTCTAGTCTTGCACGAAGTGTTATTTCAAGCCCCAATTTTCTGGTCAGTCTAAGTTAGTTCAAAGAACAAACTAATTGGAAATGGAACCAAGATGCGAGTTATTTTTCTTAATTTATGTTTTGTCTCCATCTCGCTCACTTTTCCAAAATAAAGCAACGTTTCTAGTCTCTAGTCTTGAATTAAGTGTTATCTCAATCCCAAATCCCAATCCAAGCACAGTTTTCTAGTCAGTCTAAGTTAGTTTAAAGAACAAACTAATTGGAAATGGAACCTACGAGTGCACTCACATGCCACGTTAATGACTCGTTACCTCATACCTGGTTTGAAAATTCGCGGGTGTTTGCGGGTGCAATCGAATTGATTGCAATCTACTGATGCGATAGCCGAGTCCACCTCTTCTCTCAGCCCCTACAGCTGGCCTTTTTACTGCCTGACTAGTCCGTTAAGCTCATCCGCTTATGCGGGCAGCGTTTTGCGCAATAGATAAGGACTGAGTCCAAGTATATACATACATAAAATAAAAACAAAGCGACCCCTTGCTCGCTCTTGTTTGTTCGCTTATGGTTGGTTTTATTCTCATGCTCTCTGTCTCAATGCGCTTTTCTCAGAATTCTCTGGATGGCTTTCTTAATTTCAACTCAAATATGTTCGAATCAATTATTGTTATTATGATTGCCCTGACTGTTGGCTAAGTTGTTGTTCTGGTTGTTGTTGTTGTTGTAGTTGTTGCTTTGGCTGTAATGCGTTGCCAAATTGTATTTCAGGCTACTTTTAATTAGCCACTTCTGTTCAGCCAATTGAGAAGGAAGCATTCAGGGCCAATCCCAATAAGAAATACAGAGGCGCCCAATTCGTCTCACGATGTGGCTGTTGTTTCTTTTGGCCCGAGCCCATTCCCAGGTCCAGGTCCATGCCCATGCCCATGCCCAGAC